GTAACTTGAACTGCGAACTCATTAGAGGAGCATCATTGAAATTAGAGGGGGGATAGTTAGTTATGAAATTATTTATATTTGGTAGGAGGTTAAAAGTTTTGAGAGGGTTGTACAAGCCCCTGATTATATTCTCCGCAGTCCTTTTCTTAAGTTAAAATAGGAAATGGTATAGCAAGTATTATCTTATTTTAATAGATCCCTTTAGGTCATATTTTTTTATATCTAATTTACATATAGAATAAATATCCTTAAAAAATAAATTTCATTATAAAAAGTTTTTTAAAAAATGATTTTTTTATTTATTGAATATGTGAAGAAAAAAGTATAGCATTGCCATATCATATCGTCTAAACCAATAAGTTTGTTTGTTAAATATATAACTGAAGTGTAAAATTTAAAAGAATCACTGATTTGAACAAAGACTGGTTAAAAATAACCATGGAAAAAAAACATCTGACAAAAACACCCCGATATAAATTTATATGCTTTAATAAATAAAAGGAAAATGTAATCCTCGTTTTAAACTTTGCCCTTTAGTGTAATACTTGAGTATTATTTTATAATAGTACTTTTCTAATCATGTTGCTCATCAAAAATGATTATATTTGTAAGGGGAAACAACTATATGACTCAAGGGCTAGGAATATGAATTTTAAAATAATTTTATAATGCATGACGAAAGGTATTTATTTTTGAAATATTAATCTTGGGATTGATGTGGTAGAGAAAGACTGTGTCACATATAAAAGAATTTGTAAATACCCTCATAAAATCTGTATCTTGATGAATGAGTCTTATGTAACTAACTAAATTTTATACCAAAGTAGACCTTCCTATATTTTTGTCACAAAGAAATAATGGAAATATAAAAATTTTGAGACTATTATATAAAAACAAACAAAATTTTTATTATTCTAGATAAGAATTTAAAAAATTAAACATTCAATGTTATATTAATAGCGATTCCTTTAAGATAATCTAATCTTGATCGATTTTCGAAGTCAGAAACAATTGTTACTATTCTCGCATGTAGATTTCGATATTTTTTTCTCGGGGTAGAGGGTGTTACACCAGAATTATATTGAGCAATTTTTAACTCTGTCAACCCTTGTTGTTTTTTTAAGCCTAGAAAAAATTATATAGTTTATTAGTAAATCTTTATACTTTTTAAATCATTTTAAAATAATAGATATATAGATAACTTGATATAAATTTCCACATGTTTGGATGGTAACTTGTTAGGAGGGAACTGAAGCATCTATGCCACCCTTCAACAGCGTTGTTGGTTTTCGCTTCCCCGTTCAGTGTTGATTGGTAAAAATTCCAGAGTTCAATATTAAACAAAGCAGATAGTCTGCATCTTCCAAACGTTTTACCAATATAAGCTTTTTCAAAAGTTTCAATTTAGAGGCTGAAGTAACAATTGATTATTAGAATAAAATTCGGAGTTTATTAGTAATTCAAATGTTTCAACTACATTTAAGGGTGGCACAAACCCCAAACAAACCATTATTCTAAGTTGTATATTAAATTCTACATCTGTTTTATATTTATGCGATATTTCTGGATATTTTTGAATGTTTCGCCAAAAGGATTGGCCAAAATGGAAATAGCAACATTTGTGTTGTGAATTGAGAAACACTTCATTGAAAGCTTTTACACTGGCCATTTCAAAATTTTATAAGTTTCATAATCCTTTCTATTGGTCAATATATATATGAGAGGTAAAACATTATTATTTCTAATCCCATGAATTGTATAAATTTGCGTAAATAAAGGTGGCGACGATTTAAATGTACCATCAGAAAACCAATGTTCGCATGAAGCTAAGAAGTCCAAATTTTAACACGGTGGGGAACCACACATGATAAATAAATAAGCAATTATAATAAAGTGTTTCTTATCGGGCAGCTTATCGCGATAAAAATGAAGGATTTAGTTATATTTGTTCAAAAAATTTATAGAAAATCTTACCGGACCATCATCATGAAGTATGAAATCCTCATATTTATCTGTAATTGAATATTCATGCGGAATTACCAGCTCAATAAGGCTGCTAGGATTCGGAGGTGCAAAACTGTTTGAACTCCGCGTTCGGTGACATAAGATTCGGTGATGGTAGTGCCATTGATATGGAATCACTTAATCGAGATACGTGTTTCGCCACAATAAAGTTTGGAGTTTCCATAGTATTATTCAAAGCTTCATTCTTAATTGAATTGATTATTTTCTTGGTTTTCATTTCGATTGGATTTTCTGGTTGATTGTGTATTTCTTTATTATCTTTTATCTTACCATTTTTTTTGTAAGTCGTACGGGACATTTAAAAATATCCTGATTAATGAATCTATAATAATTAGTATCTGAGACTACTTTATCCAGGCGGAACAAATAATTTTTAAAGGTTAAGATCTCCTTATTTTTGCTTTGATAACATATTTTATAAGACTCCGAAATAAAGAGGAAAGAATGGCGAAAATATTTATAATTTATAACCAAAGGAATGGCACCAGTCAGACGAGAAAATTATTTTTTTTAAATTTCGGCAATACTTTTTTTTTTAAAATAGTTATAATTTATCAAATATGTCATTAATTATTTGTTAATTTTTAGTCTAGTTATTTTTTTATTATATTTTAAAATTATTTAAGAGTTAATAAGAACCCATATCAAAATATTATATTAAAATTAATGCCGAGATATTATACTAAAATTTTATCACCCCCCCCCCCCCCCTTCCCCTCACTCCCCCTTCAAATAAACAGAAAAGATCGTAAAATAATAATATTAATAAATATTTTAAATTGGGGAAATCCCTTATTTCACTTAGATGTAATTTATTTTTGAATTGCCATTCAAAATTGATATTCTAAACAGTAATGTTGTAGACTTTATTCATCTACACTGTTTAAGAATAGTGACTGCCAAAACCACGGTTGTGCATTTGACCGGTCAAATATGGTTAAAATCAAATAAATATTATTTTATATTGAATATCATCATTTTCTATATTGAATATCATCATTTTCTTTAATATTTTTTAAATCAATTTTATTTTTGTCCAAATCTTCAATCGATTTCTGTTTTAGTAAGATTATTGACACAAATCGACCAATTTCTTTCTGAAGAAGAAGTAGATCTAGGAATTGTTAGTTATGTCACTTCTCTTAATGGTTATGGTGGTCAAAGCTAATTCCACTGCTTGAGATTGAAATCTGATTGTTTCTTATGACTACTATCCCCATGATCTTCTATTAAACAAGCCGCTTTTATTTCTGAAATTTATGATATAAACTTGAAATATTTTGATCACCACCTTGTATGCCTAATTCTTTTATTATATTACATACTTCATTAAATTCACTATGATTAAAATGCTCTCCTTAATATTAGGAACTCAATAAGCATTGTGATCACATTTCACATGTATTTATATCGGTTTTTCTTTTTCAAACATATTTTTATATTCAGATCTTATAGAATATATGACCCTTTGACCAGGTCAAATATTCTCCCGTTCAATTGACCCGTCAAAATCTAGTCATTTGACTGGTCAATTGACTGACTTGCTAACCCTGGCCAAAATTGATTGATAAATTTATAAATATTAAGTCATCAGACAATAAATAGGAATGCCCAGATATCAATTTCGCCAGTAAATATCAAGATTTAACTAATAAACTCAATGATAATATATTGATAAAGCTGAGTTCCTTGTGCGCGATTATTATAAAATAAGAACTTCGAAGGAAAGGATAGGATAGCGAAAAAAGTGTATTTCATAAACCAGATCTAAGTTAATTAATCATTATATAAATTTTTTAAGGGTAAAAGAAAATTACAAACTATGTGAATTAAAAAAATATTATTCAAATAATATAATTATAAAAAAATGATTCAAAATAAATTAGTCATTATTAGCAATTATCGCGATATTAAATTCTCTATAATATCTTCGCGATATATGCTTAGCGAAATAATTGTCGCTACACTGTCTTCGCGATTTGGGTTTCGCGATAATAACTTCGCTATAAAATTTTCGCGATTAAAGTTTCGCGGTAATGTATTCGCTTTAAAGGTTTTGCTATAAAATTTTCGCGATAAAAGTTTCGCGGTAATGTATTCGCATTAAAGGTTTCGCGATAAAGGTTTCGCTATAAAAAATTCGCGATATTGCATTCGCGGAATAGTATTCGCTATTATGGATTCGCGATAAAAAAAGTGTCGCTATAAAATCTATTCGCGATAAAAGTTTCGCTGAATTGACATGGAACCTTAAAATTTTGCTATAGTATAGATTACAAGAATTTTAGTTTATATACGAATTTTCATCAAAATTAAAAGGGATCGGCCGAACCGTGATCTGTTTAGCATGGAATGACCCAAAATCCTTTTGAAATTTTTATAATCTTCAACTTTTAATTCAACGGCCATTGCAATAATTTTCAGATTATAACATGAACATCGTTGGTTCCTTGGTAGATTAATGATGACATAATTATTGGGAATATCAGCAAATAAATATTAACGTGATCCACTAATTCCAACACTTCATCATTTTATTCTGCAACTATATCATTTTCTTCAAAAACTCTGCTTGAGTTAATGTTGTATTGATTAAAATATCCGGGAAATTAATATAAATTCTGGTAGATATATAAGATGGAAAGAGATATTTTTATTTGAAATAATATTTTAATTTGATTATAAATATTTTCAAAAAATATGTATTTTATTTAAAATTAAAAATATCTTTAAAAGATTGACAATAGGATCTCGATCGCAATTCTTATTTTAAAAAAGGATTGTCGATTCGTGAAATTTTTAAAAATTAGAATCGAATTTAGTATCATCAATCCTTTTACAATTCTGATTTTGAATGCCTGCTCTATTGAATTGATAGAACATTGACTTTTATTTTCTTATTATAAGTACATTTTAGCACAAATTATTTATTCATAATGGAAGTTGATAAAAATTTTATCAAAATACCTATACAGGAAACACGATCAAATTAATGTCATCGGCTTTCACTAATATATCTGCCCTCTTGAATTCCCACCAAACACTCGGAGGAACTTTAGAATTTTATTCGAAATTTGTGCAAAATCTTGATTATTATCTCCACTTTTCTTGCAAACGTGCTGCTATCGAAATGGAGGATCAATGTTTCTTATGGGTGCGAACAATATGCTCTCTCTTTTTATTCGAGAAAATGGACGCCGAACACGTGCCTGCTTATAAATTATATTTTTAAGATTCGCTTTTTTGGCTAATAATATAATAATAATACCTTTTAATTTTAATAAATTGTATTAAATATTATATCCAGTAAAACGATGACCACCACATAATCATTTAGAATTATCAAAAAAGTTTATATATTAGAGACTCTTTCAAAATTTTTAAACTGAAAATTTAATCTAGTTCCGACTTGGGCTATTTGATAGATATACAGATTCCCATCCATGACTAATTTATTTTAAAATGTATTGAATATGACATTTTGACAATCTTTCTACAAATTTACTAAAATTACTATATTTTTAAAATTTCTTATATACTACGTCAATAGAAACAATCGGAATTACAACTATATTTATCTCTAGTTCAATCGTGTTCCAGACTATTGGCTTCTTTATCAAAACCGTTCCGCGATAAGCTTTTTCAAGATTTACTACTAATCGATAATGATTTCACTGATAACACATTAAATAGTTTCCAAAATTTTGCACTATTTCATGTTAATTCAAGTTTAAATTTGATCGATTATAGTCTATTGCCTTTGCTCAACCATTTACTGATTTTCCTATTTGATCTTCCATCCTTCAAAAATTCAGAAATCCAAGCTAGCATTTTGAAGTAAAATAGAAAATATAATTACTATTATAGTTATCTTAAGCTTAATCTTAATATAAAAAAGTTTATTTTGAATTATTATTTTTTCTTTCTAGTTTTTACCTTTTCGGGTTATAATATAAGCCTTCTTCACTTCAATATCTCTTTTCATTTTATATTATTCACACTATCCATTTTATTCAATTTACTGACATTGTCTTTAACTTTATTAATAAATATAAATTGAATCAATGATATAAAATGGAAAGAGTGAAGAAGCTAGGTGAAAGCTAAAAAGAAAATCTCTTAGTTGAAATTAAAAAAATTATTCACAAAGTATTATTATTATAATACCCATATAAATCAGAGTTGTTAAAAAAACTTTTCAAATATATCTATCAGATACATGAACTAAAGGGATATATAGATTATATATTATATATACACACTAAAGTATATCTAGATACAGATGCATTTTTTCAAATTATATTTTGAAAATCTATTGTTAAAGCTCATTTTTAAGTTGACCAAAATTTTTTATTCAATAAATATGTAAATAATATATGATTAAATGATTATAAAATATTATTATTTTTTAAATAAAAATATTTTCAAAGTTTTCGTTTAAAGCATCCCCGTTTTCCTTTAACACTGTTTTGGCGACACTAAAAAGTTTTTTACTAATTTTTTTGCAGGCCTGGGCTCAGCCTGATCAAAAAACCATGGCCTGGAAGGTAGTTAGTTCTGAACTATATCTTGTGAATAACACTTTTTTAGGAATGTAACGACCGATTATTCTTTTTAAAAAATTCATTATCTACTGATATTAATAAATTTTCAGATCCGTTTATATTGACGTTTTAATTAAAAAATTTTTCATGCATATTTAATTTAAATAAGAAAATTTAAAAAAAAACTAAAAAACATGTTAGAAAAATAATTTATAAAGATGTTTATGATTTTAAAGCTAAATAAATACTTAAAAAAATATTCTAACAATTTACACTTCATAAATTTTAATAGACTAGATGGGATTATCATTATTTATTTTTTTCGTTATTTTTATATTTTTTTCTGTTTTTTCCATCCCTAATAATATGTAGAGGTCTGCAATGGGCTGGTTTTTAGCCCACAAGTCCACCCTTCTAACCTGACCATAGTTTAAAAAAAATATACCCGCCCTCCCATGAGTCTAAAATTCTTTACCCGCCCACTCGCCCGCCCATTAGTCTAAAATATTTTACTCGTAAGCCCATTATATAAAAATTTTATAACCCATGCCGCCCATAAAATTTAAATAAGCTCATTCTTTTAATTTTTTAAAATCTAATTTAAAAAAATGATTCAGTTTCAGCGCTACACTCCTACAAAAATGTTTTATAATTTAGGAAATTGCTAGATTAAGCAAAAAAAATATTCAATTTAAATTACCGATAATGAATTTATTTGATTTGATAAAATATTTATGTAAAATATATAAAATTAATATTTATTGATATTATTTCTTATAATGCAAAAATAATAATGAATCCACATTTTCTGGATTCACACACGTTCCCTTTTGTTCTATAAACCCTCCAGAAATGTTAATTCCTTATTCGGAAGAAGCACTAATTAATCTTGATAGCTTCGATAAATCTTTTTCGTCATTTCCACCAAAGAAGGGCACCCGTTTGAAGTATATCTTCTACTTAATTTAGATATTTAAATAAAAAGTTAAACCATTAATAATATATAAAAAAATGTAATTTAAATTAATTGTTTATAAATGATAAACTTAAACTAAAATCTTGCTAAATTATACAAAAACTCGCTACCTTAAGATTTAAATATTTTGTTATGTCATTAGGTAAGGTGCTCTCCTCTGTAAAAGCCACATCTTACCATCTATTGTTTAATTTTGACGTGAATACTATTTATTTCAAACATTGCATTTATAATTTGATACCTTTAATTGAATTCTCTTAGCTTTTGGAGAAACTGGTAAAATCACATTTTCATCCACGTTGATGTTATATTCTTCCATGCTATTATATGTTTTCTATGTCAACACATCCTCAGATATCGATTGGTATTTTTTTAACCCTCCAATAGTTTAAATATTTTTCTTAACCCGCCCACCCGTTCTTTAAAAAATTTAACCCGTTCGCTCTACAGCCCACTTAGATGGGCAGGCGGGCTAAAAACCCGCCCAATGCAGACCTCTAATATGTACTTCGTTTACCCTATATATTTACGATATTTATTTATAAAATTAAATGAGTTGCATAATTAAAAGTTTACATTACTTTTTTAGGCTGTTTGGAAATAAGTCGAACCAGAGCACATCCATTGCCAATGTCCAGAAAATCTTATCGCGAAATGCATTATCACAAATGAAATTAATACCACAAATGCATTTACGCGAATATATTATAGCGCTAATTCATTATCTAAAATATTAAAGCGAATGCATTTCGTAAATTGTAAATGAATTATCTCAGTTGCAATATCGCGAATGTAATTTGGTGAAAATACATTTTTATAATTATCACCCTTTACACAGACTGAGTGAAACCTGAAAATGGGTTTTTAGTCAGGCTTGGGCCTAAAAACAATTTTTTGTGATCGGAGTTTTCATTTTTTTACAGATATATAAAAAAGATTCTAAGTGATAAAATAGAATGTTTTATCTAGGATTAGGGTAAATGAATTTTATGTTATTTAAGTGTTTAAATATGCCTTTAACTATTTTTCATTAAATATGGGACTGGATAAGCTCAGGCCTAAATAATATTTGGGCTCAGACCTAAAAATAAATATAAAATTTGGTTGGCCTAGAGCTGAAATAAATTAAATTTGCAAGGCGCTAAAAAAAATCCTATTTAAAACATTGAGCCAAACAGATAATTGTTACTCGAAAACTTTTTATTATTCTTTGACAGAACATACTATAATTAGTGAGCGATTTAAAGTTTAATTTTATTAATTCGGTATGTATGGATATAAAACATCTATGATTGACTGCAATTGTTGATAATATTAATTTCTCACTTAAAAACATTGCCGCCCATTTTCAATGAAGATTGATATTTGAACTTGGTTTAAAAATGACTGCGATTAATATATGATATCTAATAATATTAATTTTTCGTTTTAAAAATATTGACGGTCATTTTTAAATAAAAATGTATGTTTTGGATTGACTGCGATTAATGCCAAAAAATTTAAAAGCAAAAAATCCTATCCCTCTTTTTATGGGCGTTTTAAAATATAAATCAAATAATAAAAAAAGATAAATTCTTAATATCAAAATAAAATAAATAATAAAGTTATTATAGCTTAAATTTTGGTAACTCGGAAAAAGATAAATAGGGGAGATCAGGGAAAGTCGGCACATGGAGCTTGTCAGTTCAGCGGATTTTATTTTAAAACCAGAAATGTCTAGAAATGCATAATAATATTATAATTAGAGATCTGCAAAGTTAGGCCCGGCCCGAAGCCCGCCTAATTCTATTTAAAATAATCGGGCCGGGCCGGGACTAATATTTAAAAAAAATTTCGGCCGGGTCGGGTCGGACCTTGGAATTTTTTTAAAATATATCTAAATTTATCAATTTTATATTGAATTTTTTATGTAAAATAAAAATATTTGATTTTATTTATTGAAACTAAACGACATAAAGATTAATTTCTATATTTAAATAAATTCGAGCCGGGCTGGGTCGGTAAATTTTTTTAAAAAAAATTTGGGGTTTGGGCCGGGCCGGCTTAACTTTTCTAAAAAAAAATTCGGGCCGTGCCTGGCTTGAAAAATTAGGCCCTATGTAGATTACTAATTATAATCACATCTATAATATGTATATTTGAGGCAAAAAATATTTTATTCCCCTCAACTATTAAAATTTTTTTGTGATAAAATGTGTTTTTTTAAGTTAAAATGTTTTTACACCACATTATCATAATTTTAAAACATATTATATTTATTTATAATATTTATAGATAATAATGACAATTTTAAATATTCGGCCAGGCCCGGATATTTTTTGAAAATTTTTAGGCCCGGCCCTGGTAAATTTAAATATAAAAAAATATGGCCCATTTTAGGCCCGGGTCTGCAGGTCTCTAGGAAATATAGCACTAATTTTTTCCGGTGATAGGTCGAGTTTATAGAATATATTTATGGATATATAATCGGCCGATATCAATTTAATACCGGGTTGGATCGCCTCCAAAAAATGGTATCGGTACACCACCTTCTTTCAAATATAGTAAAATCTTGACATTAAAATAAAATAAAAAATTAAAGTTTGTGTCAATTTTAAAAAAATTAAATCTGGGTTTTTTTTATTTATTATAAAATAAAATTTGCCTTTTTAATTGTAAAGAGATAAACCCGGAGAGAATTTTAATACATAAAATTACATAAGAATGCATCTAGTCAAGATTTATGTATCTAGATATTACTTTAACAACTCTGATATTAATATTTTATAAAAAATAAGTAAAATTTAATGTATTTTAAATTTTTTAGAGTCATTTTGAAGTTATTTAAAAGTTTAAACTCCATCGAAGCAACTACTCGTCTCTTTTTCGCCATAAAATCGGTACTTTATGCTAGGCCACCCGATATTTTCGCCTGTAATGCGGAAGAGTTGGTAGAAGAATTACTTATAACATCGCCAAAAAATGCTATATCTTTCATTCATATCTTTGATACAGATCATGTTTCTCAGTTTATAAATTTTTTATTTGACTTAAATATCCTGTGAATGTTATTTTTTTTTCTTCAAATTGTTTTTGTCTCATGATATTTATATAAAATTTTAGTTTTATATTTAATAATATTAAAGAGCCAAATCAACTTATAATTATTTCTTAAGGTATAATATATATTTAATAATGATGAAAGCCTGTAAATAATGAATATGAAAAGCAAGTATTAATTGATTCAACTTTTTTATAATTCGAATATATTACAAACGGCTTTAGAAAAAAACGAATTCGTTCACGTTTAACATTCATTTATAAAAAAGTAGTTTAAATTCGTAACGAGAGCTACCTTTAAAATCATGTCTGAATTTTTTTTGTCCTCTAGTATAGGCGAATTAATAAAATATTACCTCCCCAATATATTTATTTTATATTCTTAAATTCAATTTTTATTCAAATTTGAAATATTGTAATGATAACCATAAAATATTTTTATAATAAACTATTAATTTAATTAGTATTTTTTTATTGCTTTTAAGAGAATATGTTTTTCAAAGTTATTATCAAGATCATCTTTTTTCATCAAAATTATATACCAGTATATTTTTTGAAAAGTGGTTTTAAAAGAAGGAACTATTTAAATACTGTGAGATTTGATATGGATGATCGCAAAAATGTTTAGATTCAATAATATTAATACAATTATTTATATCATCCTCAACGGAAATATCATCAAAAATTCAAGAACAGAGTTGTACAAATTTTTTTTAAAGATGTTTGAGCAGAACCTAGCTCAAAAATTTAAGCAAGATCTTTGAAGATCTTTTATGTTAAAAAAATTTTGAGCAACGATCTTCAAAGATTTGTAAAATTTGAAGATTTTTTATTTTGGATCAACGATCTTGAAAGATCTTGATCATTATAGATTTTTATTTAATATTTTTGATCAACGATCTTCATATTATAAGATGTTATAGTAACTTAATAAATATTTCAATGAAGATATGCCATAGAAAAGTGACAATTGTCATATTTATAGTCAAAACAATTGGTATCCTTTTTAAATTCTTATCTATATATAGTATTTTATAATTATGTAATTTAACTTCTAATTTATGCAATTAGATTGACCTCAATAATATAATATTAAATATAGGAAAGTTATAATTATGACAAATATAATATTCAAATAGCGTTGAATATAACCTTATAAAATATAACATCTTATTTCCCACCAAGTTCAAATTCGTCTATTAATCTTTTGGATTCAATTAGTTCTTGCCTAGTTGCAGTTGGTCGGCGTATTTTCTTTCGATTTTTTCTTTTTCTACTTAACTTTTCCAGGGTTGTGATGGCATATTCCACGGGTATACGGCAATACCTGGTATGTTTTTGACATCCAATACAGCTTTTAACTAGTTTTTCGACATCTTTATCTAATTGTTCCCACCATATATAATGTCTCGTAATGAATTTCATTGATATAATACCCGGATGTCCCGTATGCAATATATGTAAAACTTTATTTTGAAGTGAGTACGGAATGATTAATCTGCCCTTCCAAAATGAAATACCTTCATTATTTCATCTATTCTTGTTCTAAAAGCTTGTAATTATTCTGGTGCGTGATTTTGTATATTTGTATCATTTATTAATATTTTTACTCTTCTTAAAATTGGATCTTTCGCGGTTTCATCTCTAACTAGTTTTCTAGATAGAGTTAATGTGTCATAAGTAAGATTTCTTATATATTTCATTGTTTTATTTTCACTTGATATTCTATCGTCATTTTTCTCTATTGGATTTCGCGATAAAGCATCTGCAATTATATTAGCGCCATTCTTGTACATTATATCATAATCATATGCAGATAATTTATAAGCCCAACGTAATGATCTTTGGTTTGTTAATAAGTTTAAATCTCTGTTATTACCATATATTTTTATTAAAGGTTTGTGGTCCGTTCGTATTATAAACTTTCGTCCATACAAATAATTTGAAATTTTTCTACGTCATTTATTATTGCTTTAGCTTTTTTATCTATTGTAGAATAATTCTTTTTAGCGTCTTATTCTCGAGCTATAAGCTATTGGAAATTCATTTTCATTATATTTTTGCAGGAGTACAGCTCCAAATTCTTGGTTAGATGCATCTGTTTCTAATATTAACCCGAGGTCCGGTTTATAAAACTGTATAGTATTTTGTTCTGTTAATATTCCTTTTGCTCTTTCAAATAATGTATCATCTTTTTTAGTCCAATTCCATTTGATATTTTTACTAGTTTTAATGTAATTCGGCGATAATTCCACGTAAGTTTGGTATGAACCGTGTATGATAGTTTAATATACCTAAAAATTATTTTATGCCCTGTCTATCTTTTGGAGTTGGATTTTTTTGTATTGCTATTATTTTCTTTTTGTCTAGGTGTATTCCATTTTGATCTATTATGTATCCTAAATATGATACTTTTTCTTTCATAAAATTTATTTTACTTGTTTTAACTTTTTATTCCGCATTTTGTAATTTTTCGAGGACTTGTTTTATATTTTCTATATTTTCTGAATCATTTTTCCTGTGATTATAACATCATCTAAATAAACTGCTGTATCTTTACAGTCAGCCAGCAAATCGTCCATATATAGTTGAAATATTATTGGTGCTGTAGCAATACCATAAGGTAATCGTAAATAGCGGTAGTATCCATTTGGTCCTACCATTGTTAATAATTCTTCGTCATTACTCATTTGTAGATATGCGTCTTTTAGATCTAGTGTTATATACTTATTTCTATTAGCGATCTTTGCTATTAATTCTTCAAACGTTCGTAGAATGTGATAGTCCTTTAGTAAAAATTTATTCAATGTTACTTTGAGATCACCACATAATCGTAGTTCACCTGAAGTTTTATGAACCACTACCATTGGAGCACTCCAGGTTACTGTTGTTGATGGATCTATTTTCTTTATTATGTTATTTTCTTACAAACGTTTCAGTTCAATTTCCACTTTTAAAGGCAACGGTACCCTTCTAGCTGTTAGTGTATTTTCTTCCAATTGTAGATTTACTGATTCGACGTTTTTTATTACTCCTTATCGAACACCGTAATAAATTCTTTATATAGTTTTACAATATTCACGTTATCATTATTATATTTATTGCTGATCATATTGACTTTTACCTTTGTTGGTAACGATAAATCAAATTCTATAGTCCATGGAAAATACAAATGGTGCTGCATCATATATTTTTGTAATTAATAACGGAAGCCATTTTATTTTATATTATAATTGAACTTTTACATAATATTCGCCCATAATTTTTATTGTATTGTTTCCATATGTAGTTGGAGCTCTAAGCATTCTAATTTTTGGCCTCCCTATTTTATTCCTTATTGTTGCATTAATGATGGTTACTGCGAACCTGTATCATATTCCATTTTAATTTCGTGGTTGTTTATTAATACTGTGTGCTGTCCATATTTGTAGACTTTTCTTATTGAAAAATCGGAATCATCGTTACTTTTGTAATTCCGTAAACTTTTCCTCTAATTTTACACACACGGCAAAGTGTTTTTGCACGTTTTTCCATATGCTGGACAATTCCAAATAGCATGAAAACGATTACAAAAATAGCACGGTTTCTTGTATTATTATTATTTGTGTGGTAGTTATTATAAACTTGCACTGGTTCTCTTTTTACGTATGTTTTATTATCATTTTGATAGTGTCGATTATCATTATACTTTCGATTATTATTTTGATTTAATTGTTTATTATTATCATTATATTTAGTTGTCTCTTTGATTTTATAAACCATTTTAGTAGTATTATTTATCATCGCCAAAGTCATTTCTATAACCTTATTTAAGCTTAACGGTTGGTCTTCGTCTTTAGTATCTAAATATCTTAAACGTAGTTCTTTATCTAGTTGCGAAATCTTTAGTCCAGCTATTAATTGATCGCGAATTCTTAGTTCTACATTATCTTCAAATTCGCCTTGGGACTAGTTCTTTTATATTTTTTAAATAACTCAATACTAATTCTATTGGTCAGCGACTTAATCTAATGAAATCAATTCTCGATGCCAAAACAGTCCATTCAGCTATATAAAGTTGTTTTGCAATTACCATATTATCAATTTTTCTTGGAAATAGTAATTTTTTTATATAAGTTATTATATTTATTCCACCATATACTATGAATAATGTTTTCAAGGTGGCGTCAGTTTGAGGAATATTCTTTACATGCAAAATATAATTTACATGATCATCTAGAGAAGTTTCCTCTTTACGAAATTTGTTTAATATAATCTTTGAAATATCACCCATAATTTCTATATATTATTAATTTTTTTAAACAAAAATATACAATTCTATTTAATATTTATCTTGACCGAAGATCGCATTTTTTTTTATTTCGTCGCCAAATATTATAGTCAAAACAATTGGTATCTTTATTTTAAATTCTTATCTATATTTAGTAATTTATAATTATTTAATTTCTTCTAATATAATATTAAATTTAGGATAGTTATATTCAGTGTTGTTAAAATAGCGCGCTACTTTTTTCAGTAGCGGTAGCTATAGCGCGCTACTTTTTTAAAAAAATAGCGATAGCGGTAGCTCGCTACTAATTTAGAAAGTAGCGAATTTACATAATAAATACATCTAAAAATTATTAAAATATATTTTTTATAAAATCTAAAATTATAATCCTTTTATTTAATTTAATTTAATTTTGAAATTTATATTTAAAAATATACATTATTGTTATATATTAGATATAAACAGTTGTTAAATAGCAATCTGTATTTAATTTATATTTCGCGCATTCATTAAATTATATATTTTTGAAATTCCGTTATTGGTATGTCCTTGCTTTTATCATTTTATATTTCATTTTACATTTTATATTAAGCATTATAAATCTTGTTATGTGTGAGATTGTTGAAGATATTGAAATTTCTTTGGAAAATGAGCAAAATATAGATGATCAAATTCAAGAAATACTTTAACCTTGAAGAAAAAATTAATACTGGATATCGGTTTCGGTGCAAGATGTGCCGCAAATTATCTCTTCAAATCATACGAGCAGCTTTAATTTGGAAAAACATTTAAAGGTAATATATTAAACAAATTTAATATCAATGTGTAGGCTAATCTTTAATTTTTAAAATAAATTAAAATCAAAAACCAATCATTTTTTTTATATATTCATAAATTTTATCTAAATTATTTAAAACATTTTAAAATAGTTATTTCAATCATTTTTATGTACTTATCTCCTACATAATTTTTATTCTAAGTATTTTATAATTTTAGACTGTGCACACTTCATATTATAAAGAGATTGAAAAATATCTCAAAGGTTTTGGGGTAATGGAAGAAAATAAACCCACTTCCAAATCAAATTTAATACAAACAAAATTAACCAATTTGGATTCATCAAAACCTGGTGTAT